GCTGGGCAGTCGGGGCCAGCAGGAGGCCTGCAGGTCTCAGGCCGGAGGATAAGTCTTGTATTTTTCCTCTCTCTCCATTGTAGGTGTTCAGGCGCTTTGTGGAGGTTGGCCGGGTGGCCTACGTCTCCTTCGGCCCTCATGCCGGAAAGCTGGTTGCAATCGTCGATGTTATTGATCAGAACCGGGTAAGTGTAGGAGCGTGCTACAGCGTGTAAGTCGCCATGGCAGTGAATGGTACCCCCGACGGATGGTAATGATTGTCTCGGTGACTTTCTCAGGTGGGAGTACCAGGGTGGTTTTATTTTACCATTAGGGAAATCGGCAATGGAGGGTAGGGGTTTCAGGCACAAGACTTTGAGTGAGCTGTTATTCCTGGCTTCTCTTCTTACTCAGCAGCTTAATCTACCTTTGGTGTTTAGTCAATTATGGGCTGAAATATTGATAAGGTTTAAATGGTTTACCATCACATGTAAAGCCAGTTTAAAACGGATCCAGTCACATTGAAAGCACTTTGCGCTTATTGTCAATATTTGAGGTCAATAAATGAAGGGGTTTACCAGTTGCTGTAGACAAACTTTTTATACACAGTATTAAAGACTTTAAAATTGCCAAATAAATTACCAATTGATGGCAATAGTTTGAGAAGCCTTTAATGTTGTAGAGAAGTGTTTGTGGTTAGTCAAAGAAATGAGGCTGTATTTAAGAACTGCTATAAAAGTAGGATAGTTTTTCCTAAGGAAATTTATCTAAATGCTGTGGGTTTGAATTTGAAAGGCTAAGATATTACAATAAAAGAGTATCCGTTTTAACTACTGTTAAGTTATACTCTGAGATCCTGGGTGTTTATGTTCTAGGCTTTGGTTGATGGACCTTGCACTCGGGTGAGAAGACAGGCCATGCCTTTCAAATGCATGCAGCTCACTGACTTCATCATCAAGTTCCCACATAGGTAACTCTCCCGTCTTCACCCTCCCTCAGCTTTGTTTATACTAGTAAACTACATTTTTGCTTAAATCAAAAAAAAAAAAAACTGTTTTGCTACATTGCTTTCTTCTTAAGAATATAGTAAGCAATATGGAAGATTCCCAGCGATCCAGAAGAGAAATTTAAGTTACAGAAGTAAACAGGCATTATTTATTTTTATAGTGTCTTATGATCTCTTTTCCTCCCAGGTAGTTTTCTGGCTTTGCTTTTATCCACGCTGGTGGTTCTCTGACTTTTTTTTTTTTTTAATTTTATTTATTCATTTATTTTAATTTGACCAGAGAGAGAAAGAGAAAAAGGGATAAAGGAAGCCGCCAGGTCTAGGACTCAAACCATGGTTGGCCATGTGGGAGTGTCCAACACCTTAACCACTACGCCACCTGCTGGTCTCAGTTCTCTGACTTTTTTCCAGCACTTGGCTATCATTGGTAGAGCTTTCAGCGTGTGTCAGTTGTGAGAGTCTAGTCTTGTCTTAATGTAGGGAATTGAGAAAGTAAGTAGGGATTATTTTTGACATGAGTAAATTAAACCAGAATGGTATGTAGGTATACAATTGCCAACTCAGCAATTGCAATGGAACTTGTGCTGTAAGATGACCATCACAGGTAAATACTTCTTAGCCGTGTGATTTTTGGATATCTATGTAGTGTTACTGAATTTAATTATGCCCTAGTATTTAGTGTTCTGTATCTTCCCCCACCCCACCCCCAAAAAAGTAATGGAGCAGAAATTGTCACGAGCACCTCAGATCGTGGCTGGAATGTGCGTAATGAATATTCAAGTGTTGGGACCAGCAGTTAGCGTAATGGCTATGTCGCTGGACTCCCATGTAGTCGACTGCGGTTCGGTGGCTTAAACTTACACCAGACGCATGTGTGGATGCCCAAGATCCCGAGAGGAGAAGGGATTGCGGCGTGGCCATCCCCCCCGGGGGAGTGATTTCTCGCCTTCTTTCTGGCGCGAGCGCATGCGCCCTATAGCAAAAACCTCTTAAAAATAAATAAATTAATTAAATTACATACATACTCAGGTGTTGAGCATTGGGCAACTAAGTATGTCTGTACTGTAGTGTTTTTGAAGCACAACTAGGGGTGTTTCTTGAGGATATGAGTTCATTTCTGCTGGCTTACGTTTTCTGAAGGTGCTCTTGGTAATTCTGTCTAAATAGTGTGCACAGGGTTTTATTTGTAAGGTGGTAGGCCACACATTATACAACATAGAAACAGGCTCAGGGATTACCTTTACCTTGTTATGAAAAGGAAATTACTTCCCACATACTACCCTGAGGGTGTTATATGTGTATTTATGGAGAGAGAGTGTGTGTGTCAGGTTACTTTTTTAAAGTCCACAGAACGGACTGGGTTGCAGTTCTTACTAAAATTGTCCTTGAAATCCTAAGATAGCCTGGCTTAGTGAATGCCGTTCAGTAGGCAAAGGACAGTGCTGGGTGTGTGTGTGCCATGAACAGGAAGTGACAGGGTGCTCTCGGAGAACAGAGGCTGTCCCTGGTTATGAGCGTCTGTGAAGCCTGTGTCCTAACCAGCAGTCTTGGGTCTTTCCAGTGCACGCCAGAAGTATGTGCGCAGAGCCTGGCAGAAGGCAGATATCAACACAAAGTGGGCGGCCACGAGGTGGGCCAAGAAGATTGAAGCCAGAGAAAGGGTAATGACGTGGGATCTTGGAATCTCGACCTTTTCTTTGTTGTTAATTGCCAGAGGGAGAGCGAGAAGGTACCTTCTTCCAGTGGGGCAGTCACTGCAGTCCATTCTCCCTTTCCATGCTGTTGGGTCTAGGGCACTTACACATGCTGCTAAGGCCTGAATTTGATCGTGTGGGGTCAAGTTCTCTCAACCACTCGGCCAGGGGTCTGGCCCCTAGCCTTTTATTTTCTGGAGGGGTGGGAAGTACAGTGAGAGGCGTCGTTATTTATTTGTTTGTTTATTTACAGAAAGCCAAGATGACAGATTTTGATCGTTTTAAAGTCATGAAGGCAAAGAAAATGGTAAGTTTTAAAGATCTGCGTTTTCTTTATTCATGGTAGAGCTGTGCATACCAGAGAGAAATGAGCACCCTCCAAGGTTATGCTGCAAACCCCTTCCTGCGGCCCTCCAGCCTGTCAGATCTTGGTCATTCATACCACATACATGTGCTGGTTTAGGCTGGCTGGGGCGGAGATTCGAATAGCAGTTAGTTACCAGGTGGAATCTCTGCTTCTCTGGAGAGGTGTGTTAACTGCTGTGCCTGTTTATCCTCCCGTATTGTATTTCATGGTGTCGTCAAGTAGTAGTCACGTGTATTTGTGTAGTCATAGGAGAATAGATCGTTTAATGCCTTTCCTAAAAACTAGCACATTTGTTAGACTGTGTGTTTACGTGTGTGCATATACGGTAAGCATTTTCTTACATTGAAATTTTTCAGAGGAACAGAATAATCAAGAATGAAGTGAAGAAGCTTCAAAAGGCAGCTCTCCTGAAAGCTTCTCCCAAAAAAGCACTTGCTGCCAAGGGTGCAGGTGCCGCTGCAGCTGCTGCTGCTGCTGCCGCCAAAGTGCCAGCGAAGAAGGCAACAGCCGCAGGCAAGAAGGCCCCAGCCCAGAAGGCTCCTGCTCAGAAAGCTGCAGGCCAGAAGGCCGCGCCACCTCCCAAAGCGCAGAAGGGTCAGAAAGCTGCAGCCCAGAAAGCACCTGCGCCGAAAGCATCGGGCAAGAAAGCATAAGAGGCTGTGATCAAAATAATAAACGTTCTTTTTGACATAGCAAATCTGTTCTAAGTCTGGATTTAAAGCCTGTTTTCTGATGCTGGGGTTAGGCAGATTGGCAAGATAATAAATTATGTAGAAAAATAAGGTAACTATTCAAATTACATATTGTAGATTGGTTACTTGGAGTTTCTGGTTCCCTTTCAACCACTATGTTAGTGATTTTGGACAGTGAAAGATGATGGAAGTAGGTGTTATGATGCTATATTGTATCTTGGAAATTTGGGGTTGCTTAAAATGAAACTTAGAGGTACCAGCAGTTAGCGTAATGGCTATGTTGCTGGACTCCCAGGTAATCGACCACGGTTCAAATCCTGGATCTGGTGGCTTGAACTCAAGCATGCATGCCCAAGATCTGGAGAAGAGAAGGGATTGCAGTGTGGCTATCCCCCCTTTGGGGGTGATTTTTCGCTGTCTCTTGGTTGCTGTCTTTCTGGCAAGCACGTACCCTATAGCAAAGAAAAATAATTCTTTAAGAACAAATCATTCTGGACCCAACAACTTTTTGAGTAGATTTTTTAAAAATTTTATTTATTCATTCATTTTTATTTGCTGAGAGAAAAGTGAGAAAGCAAGCCACCAGCTCCAGGACTCAGACCATGATTGGCCATGTGGGAGCCCAGCGTCTTCACCTGGACTGGCCCCATGCTGAAATTTTTCTTTTCTGTTTTTTTTTTTTTTTCTTTTGGAGAGGTTTTTGCTATAGGGCACATTCGCTCACCAGACAGACAGAAAGCGAGAAATCACCCCCCAGGGGGATGGCCACACCGCAATCCCTGCTCCATTCTCCTCTTGGGATCTTGCGCACGCAAGCACACGCGCCTGGCGTGAGTTTTAAGCCATCAAGTTTGGGATGCACACCGCCGTCGACTACATGGGAGTCCAGCGACATAGCCATTACGCTAACTGCTGTTTCCAGTAGATCTTAGTTTTTAATTCAGGAATTTTGATACTTGGTTTTTCCATATAAATTCAGCCTACATTTTCAAATTTATTAAGTGTATTTTATATATTGTGTGATGAGTTTTGTCCCTTACATCTATTTATATCTTTTCTGTTGTGGAAACAACCTTTTTTTATTGGAGTTTTCACAGAACCAATTAACTTGCAGTTTTATTTCTCTAATTGCCAGGGGGCATGTGAACTTGACAGAGATGGGAAAAGCGAGCACACACACCCCAGTGGGGCATGGTTATGCCGATTCCTTCTCCATTTCATCTTGCTGCTGGGATTGTGAGTGTGCATGCATACACACCTGGTGTGTTTTCAAACTGTCAGAGCCAGGATTCAAACCATACAGTCAGTCATTTGAGATCTGGCTCCCTTAATCACTAGGCCTGGGCTGGCTCTTAATTGTCAAGAGGGCATGTGTGCTTGCCAGGGGGAAGGACAGAACACTGGTCCCCGAGGGAATGTGGTCGTATCACTCCTTTTTCTCCATTCCTTCCTCAGACAAGTGTGTCTTCCCAGCCTCCAGAGCTGAGATCTGAACTATAGTCAGCCACGTGGGATCCAGCTGCTTGCAGTAATTCCTCCCTCACCTTCCTTCAGTCATGCCTGTTAGTCACAGCCTTCTGAACTGAAGATGTTCCCATTACAATGATGTGCAGGCTCATTATCTGCAACCTTTGCTTAAGACCAAGCAATGGAGGCCAGCAGGTGGCATAGTGGCTAAAGCGCTGAATTCCCACATGACAAATCATAGTTCGAGTCCTGGACCTGGGAACTTGAAACATACTGGGCACATGTGTGCACACACCCAAATTCCCGAGAAGAAAAGGAAGGGATTGTGCAGCCATCCCCGGTGTGTGTGTGTGTGTGTGACCACAGGGTCGAATTGAGCCGATCACTGCTGTACAAGGCTCTGGTTGTGGCTTTTAGATCAGTGTGAAGCCTCCCCATTCATGCCTTTTGCCTTAAAATAATCCAGAAATCCTGCAAGACCTCAGTGCACATAATGACTTGAATATTACGTATCAGGCAATCTTCCTCCGTCCCGGCTCAAACTCCTTTACTGACTTGGCCTCAGCATTTCTCTTAGGTTAATGACTGTCCAGTTGAGAAATTGAGTCAAAGATTTAAGTAGAAGCTGAGCCAGTCCATACTGTTACAAAACGGTGGAGCCAGGGTTAGAAGGTGATCAAACCTCGGGCTCCACCGTCTCAAGCTACAGTCCAGCCAGTCAGCCCTGCGCTGGGACACGGCATGTTGTTCATTAGACAAGTAAGTGGTTGGTAGAGAGGCAGGACAGAGCTAGAACAGGAAGGTGGGAAACAGGGCTGGAGTGTTTTCCCTTGTGGCTAGATAGAAAAAAATGGTCAGGGTAGAAAATTCTCCACCTGGGGACCAGCACTTGGTGTATGGCTGTGTTGCTGGACTCCCATGTAATCGACCATGGTATGAGTCCCAGACCCGGTGGCTTAAACTTATGCGGAGTGTGTGTGCCCAAGATCCCAAGAGGAGAATGGAGGAGACGGGATTGTGGCGTGGCCATCCCCCCTGGGGGGTGATTTCTCACTTTCTCTCTGTCTTTCTGGTGAGCACACACAACCTATAGCAAAACAAACAAAAAAACCTCTTCTACTGGAATAAAGCTACAGCTGACCTGGCGATTTTCCTAAGCAGGGTCACAGCGAGGTGCTTGCAGACTTACTGTGGTCCAGTGGGTTGTGCCGTTGCTGATTGGCTTTGTTCTTTTGGGGTGTTTCTCAACTGTTTACACTAACACACAGGTGAAGCTGGTTGAGAAGGACCTTGTGAACTGACCCAAAGATATGTAAATTACAGCAGTTACTTGGTGAGTTAGGATTTGGGTCAAAGAATACTTTTTCTTTCTTGAAAACATAAAGTACTTAAAATTTTCAGCCTCCCTTCTCCACTCCCCCCCCCACCCCCTTCTTTCTGCCACACCTGGAGGAGTGACTGTAAAGGTTTGTCTAGATCTTTCATTTCTTTTTAACTTTCAAAAAAGAATTTTATGTAGCTTTATTTACTTATTTTAACAAGAGAAGGAAAAGGGGGTGGGGGAAGAGAGAGAGAGAGAGAGAAAGGAAAGGAGAAAGCAAGCCTCCAGGTCCAGAACTAGAACCGCAGTGGGCCATGCACCCTAAACCACCTAGCCACCTTCTGAGCCCCTGTCTAGATCTTTGTGAAGGGATGATCTTTTTTCCCCCAGCCAGTGTTACTACTTATTTACTGCCAGTTCCTGGGTGGCAAAACAAATACCTTTAACAAATTTTTGTAACTTACTGAAAAATGCCAAATACAAGGCACTTAGGGTGTCCTGCCAAAGCCACTACGGGACAAAAGAGTTTACTCCACGCCATGCCCGGGTTACAGGATGCCGGGCGACCGTGGCCACCCTTCCTGTGGCTGTTACACGAATTCTGTACTAGAAGGTCCCCGCGCTCAGGCCCTAGAACGGGCAGGTGGAAATCCCGGCTTGGCTGAAGGCCGCCCAGCCTCGCTCCGACCCGGGCCATCTGGAGCTGACACCGCAGACGCGGGGATCCGACTCCAGCTCGCGCCGCTGCGCCCCAGCCCTCCCCGGAGTCGGGCGGGTCACGTGAGAGGCGAGTCACGTGGGCCGGGCTGGGGGCACCGAGAGGGGCGGCCTCCGGGCGTCCTAGAGCGCCCCGGGCCCGCTCCCGCTTCCGGCTCGCTCTGAGCTACCGGCGTCGGAAGGCGAGGGCGTGGGGGGACCCAGTGCCGGGTCGCCCGTGCCAGCCCGTCGTCCCCCAGCGGCCCCCGATGGCGG